TCTGTAGTCTTAGCACTGTTCATATACTATATGGTTGAATCCCTTGCTTTCCTTATTGATTATTGTGTATCTTTATGCATATATGTGCGTATATGGCCATATATGTCCTACATATGGGTCATTAAAATACATAGTATTTATATATGTACATAGACACATACATACACCCGGGCGCACGTGCGCGCGCACGCACACACACGCACACACATATACACAAAAAAAAATATGTTTCATGATGGCAGGGATCTTTGAGGGGGAGGCTTAATACCCGAGTGCTTAGAGCAATGGCTGGAAAGGGTAGGTACTTAAGTGGTGAATGGGTAAATAATGCCCTTCCTGCCCTCTCCTTCCCTTCCTCTGATTGTGCTTCTGCTCAGTGAGACTTTTCTGGACCACGCTCTATAATTCTGCTTTGCTTACTTCTTATCTAGTTCCTCTTCCTGGAGCTAGATCGTTAGAGCATGTCCACTCAGCATTAACTGTTAAGCTCTTCCTTGTGTAGCTGAGTAGAAGAGTTTTATTGATGAATATTCTGGAAATAGGACTGTGTAAGACCTTTTTTAAAAGAAAGCATGACTTTCTAGTAAAAGCCATTAGTCACCAAAGAGCATCCTTAATTTACTTAAGCACACTGAATTTTTTTCCGTAAGTCATAAACTGGCAAAAAAAAAAAAAATCCTGGAGGGGAAAAACACAACTGCTTCCCAATATTTCTAACCTCTTTGTAGTAGCTAATTATTAAAAAGCAAAGCATTGCTGTTAAAATGAGTATGAATTATTTTTAAAAGCAGCAGTCAGTGTTTGGATGGAACTTCTTTGAGTTTAGAGATGCAAACCAGATTCAAGTGTGCATTCTGTCTACCTATCCAGTTTGAAGAAAAGCAGGAAGTGAGGGATCTGACAACTGCCTAACTTGGACCAAACTGGCCTAAACTGATTTTGTTTAATTTGGTTGTCAAAATTAAGGCACAAGTTATGAATAAAGACCAAAAAACGGATTATCTCAATTTACTCAGAATATCATTTGACAAAGTCCAATAGCCTTTTACCTTAAAACACTCAAAAACAAGCATAGAAGGAAGCTTCTTTAACTTGACAAAGGACATTTTTATTTAAATCCCATGGCCAAATACTAATGGTGAAAGGTTAGATGTTTTTCTTTAGGATCTGGAACAAGACAAGAATCTTCCATTTTCTAATACATCAGTAGTTCCAGCCAGGGCAATTCAGCAAAACAAAGAAATAAAAGGCAACATATTAAAGGAAGGTGTATGCCTAACTGTATTTAGGTAACATGATTGAATATAGGTAATCCTGAGTTGGCATGCACACAAACACACACACACACACACACACACACACACACACACACACACACCTTTTAGAACTATATAAACAAGTTCAGAAAAATTGCTCAATGAAGTTTTGATGCAGGTCCTGTTAATGCAAGATCAACATACAAGTATCATTTGTATTTCAGTACACTAAAAAGCTAACAATGAAATCAAGCAAACAATTCCATTTACTATTGCATCAAAAACTATGCTATTCTTAAAGTTAAATTAAGAGGAGCAAGACTTGGCGCTGAAAACGATGACATAATTTTGAAAACATTAAACTGAAATAAATGAAGCCATCTTTTTTATAGCTTGAAAAACTTAATACTTTAAGATAGCAACATTTTTGAAAATGATGTATAATTGCAATGTTCAAAAATATTAGTTTTTTTGTAATAAGTACACTAAAATTCCTATTTTAAGATGCAAAAACCAGATACCTAGAAGAACCAAACATGCTTTTATTTATGTATTTATTCAATTTTGGTGTCACACCTGGCTGTACTCAAGGCTTACTCCTGGCTCTGCGCTCAGAGAACATTTCTGACAGGTTTAGGAGACCATATACGGTATCAGGCATATGCAAGGAAAGCCCCCTATTCCCTGTGCCACCTCCAGCCCAAACATGCTTTTTAAAGAACACTCTTATTCCACAATTTCAGAAATGCTACCCTTACACTTATGATCAATTGGGTGTCAAGACAATTCAATAAAGAAAGACTCGCCTCTTTCTGTTTATTCTTCTGTTTGTTTTTGGATCACACCCAGAGGTTCTCAGGGACTAGTCCCCAGCTCTGGGCTCAGTGGTCACTCTGAGTGGTGCTCAGGGAACCATGCAGTACACAGGATCACACCCAGGCTTGATGCATGCAAAGAATATGTTCAACCAGTTGAGCTATTTCTCTGGCCCGAGCCAGCATTTCCTAGGTCTATACACAACTAAATACCCAAATGAGTATAAATTTGGACCCTCAACTCCAAGCTTCTTAAGAAATTGACTTGGAACTGGTAATAGGCCCAAATGATCACTCACTGCCCTCCTGTTGTTCATCGATTTGCTCAAGCGGGCCCAGTAAGGTCTCCATTGGAGACTTTGTTGTTACTGTGTTTGGCATATCGAATACGTCACGGATAGCTTGCCAGGCTCTGCCGTGGGGGTGAGATACTCTCGGCAGCTTGCCGGGCTCTCCGAGAGGGGCGGAGGAATCGAACTCAGGTCGGCCATGTTGGCTGCGTGCAAGGCAAACGCCGTACCGCTGTGCTATCGCTCCAGCCCATAGGCCCAAATATAAGAGCTAAATCAGTAAAACTTTTAGGGAAATTTTTTTAGGGAAAACTCTATAGTCTTAGACTAGGCAATTTTAACTATGATAAAACATAATTAATATAAAATAAATTGGACTTGGTAAAAATTGTAAGTTGTAAAAAGATTGTTTAAAATGTGCTTCAGTGGATATACTCAGAAAGCAAAGAAAACCCACAGAATGGGAGAAAAAAATGTAAATAGTCCATCTGATAAAGTATTTTTTACCAAAAAGTATATGAAGAATGATTATATTCAATAATATGATAAAATAGAATTTACATATAGAATAGGAAAATCCTATTGAGTATACATTTCTCCAAAGGAATTATAAACACCTTAAAAAATGCTCAGTATCCCTAGCCATGAGGGACATGCAAATCCAAAAAACCACAAGATAGCACTTCAAACCGACTAGGGTGGCACTAACCAAAAAGAAAGACAGTGACTTATATGGCAGAATTGTGGAACAAAGTGGACCACTCATTCGTTTCTTGATAATTAAAATGTAAAAATGCTGCAGAAAATATTTTAACACTTCCTCCTAGTACCAAGAATAAATTTAGCCTGTGACCTAGGAATTCCATTACTAGGTGTATGCACAGGAGAACTGAAAACAAGCAACGACTCTATTTTTAAAAAGAAAAAAAAACTTATATGTAAATACTCAGCCATGTTATTCACAAAATAAAAAAAAAAGTAGAAAAAAAAAGTCCAAATGTCTATGTGCTGCTAAAGGGATAAACTGAATCCAGTATTTTACCATACAATGGAGTATTACAATACAAGAAAAGGGAAATAAAAGGTTATCACATACTACAACATGAACTTCCCTGGAAAACATCATGCAATGGGAGAAAAGCCACTTTCACATCATTATCTGATTCCATCTCTATGGAATTTCCAGAAAATACATAAAAACAGAAGATATTGAGGTAAAAAATAGATTAGTGTTTGGCATAGCCTGGGATCATGGTGGGGGGAATGTGGGAAGTTCCTGTTAATGTGAGCGAGGTTTCTTTGGGAGGTGATATAAATGTTCTAAAATTAGATAATGGCAATGGTTTCACAATTCTGTGACGACTGAAAACCACTGAATTGTACACTTTAACATGTTGAGTTTTATGGTAAGTGAATTACATCTGAACAAAGCTATTATTAAAAACTCGAGGTACATGTGGGAATTAGGATTCTGGGCTGTTTAACTGCCTTTATAAGGAGCTTCTGAAACTAATAATAAAGATCAGAGTAGACAGAGGAAAGCGTTTCCCTCCTCCATTTCTCTTTTTCTTTTTATTTCATGGGTAGGAGCTAGCTGTTTTGTGTGGCTGACATCAACCTTTCGGTTGCTTCTTCGTTTTTGTCACCATGGGAAAAGGAGCAGGTGGTAACCTTAAAAGAGAAAATGTTCAATTTGGGAGAGAGACTTTTAGCTTTGGCTCTTACTTTTTGAAATAATTCACATGCATAATAGATATAGTTTAAAAACTACCGACAGAAAATTTTATTTTGTATTTAGAATTTCAAACCTACAGAGATTTTTAGCAAAGGTAAAAATATCTTTCTCATGAGTTCTTAGTACAGATTTGGAAGAGAAAAATAAAATATTTTTGCTCTTCTTAAAATTTTCTATGCAATTTTCTTTAGAAACACTTTTCATTTCCATCATCTGGAAACCTTATATAAAAGTGGTGTGCTGTTCATATTTGTTAAATATCCTGGTAATATATCTTGTCGTTTTATGGATTGTTTATTTAGTTACTATTAATGAGTCATTACTCTTGCTAGTATTTCTATCCTTAATATAAATCATAAGTATTGGATGGTAACTATCCAATATTTTATCTAGTAAAAGAGTATTTAGACATTCCTTTTGGGATATTGATGTTTTTAAAAGTTGGGATTCGTGTTCAAACATTTATGTTAGTCTAGAGAGGTAGTCAGCAAGTAGGATACTTGCCTCGCTTGAATTCAACCTTAGTTTGATCCCCTGTTCCACATATGCATGGTCCCCTAAGCATTGACAGGAGTGATGCCTGAGCACAGAGATAGGAGTAAGCCCTGAGCACGGCCCTGTGTGACCCACAATAAAAATAAGCAGATAACTAAATAAAGTTCCATGTTTAAACCATGCTTAGTTGGTGATCTCTGACCTTTCACAATGTTCTCAAACTTCAAACACACCTTCTGCGAAGACTGGCGTGTCAGTGAATGAACACTCCTTTAGTTGCTTCTGCCAAAAGCCATTTGCCAAGGAAATATGTTGATGGTGTAGACTCTAAGAGCTGATGAGTGGAAGGCTGATGGCAAAGATTATTTCTGTTGCTTCGTTTCTCACCTACCACCTTTGCTGCTTTCAGGAAGATCTGCCTGCATTGCAAGTGCCCTCAGGGGGAGCACATGGTGACAGTGATGCCCCTGGAGATGGAGAAGACTGTCAGCAAACTCATGTTTGACTTCCAGAGGAACTCGACCTCAGACGATGACTCAGGCTGTGCCTTGGAAGAGTACGCCTGGGTCCCGCCGGGTCTGAAGCCTGAACAGGTACCGCTGTTGCTGGGAAGCCAGTTGTGGATTTTGTTTTCCGCGATGCTGTTCCTCATCATTCCCGTTCAGGAGGGAGAGCTGGCTTTGCTTGCTGAAGATGTGAGGGATTCAGAAGGGGTTGGAGTCGAGACGTGAACCTGAGCCTTGTGGGGGCCCTTTGTAATTCATTCTCTATTGCCATGGTTGACTGTTAACAGAAGCTTGTAGAGACACATCTAACAAATGTTGACTTTGAAATGTGAGATACTTTGAAACTTCACTTTGGGTGGGCAGTAGAGAAGTCCGATTTGGCCACGAATCGTTACGATTTGTGACTGTTAAGATTTGTGAAGGAGTGTGAAGAAGTACAGATTTGCCTTGTCCTCAGTGATTTACCTCGTGTTTAAATATTAGGTTTGGGCTTTCTTTATAAAGAAAGACATTGGCATTTCCTGAAATATTTGACACTGCCCACAGGCTGTAAATATTATTGGCTCGATTAGATGAAGTTGTTTTTTTTTCTGTCTCATGCATAGAACTCACTGATATACAGTTTCTTGCTTTTCATTTCTTGGTGTTATGAAGTTTTGCTTCTTGCTGCTTTAAAACCCTTTCTCTAAGCCGGGTTTTTTTCTCTCCAAGTTTTATTTAGATACTATGATCAGTAATATGGTTAATAAGAAAATTTCAGGCATATAGTGTTCCAACACCACCACCAGAATGTCAGTGTCCTTCCACCAATGTCTCAAGGACGCCTCCCACATAGCCCCTCTCTTCATCCCACTTGGCAAACTCAGACTTATTATCAGGGATTTACAAGTTACAAGCTGATTGATTTTAATTCCCTTACTGTGTTCATTATATCTCACATATGAGATAAAGACTATTTTGTATTTGTCTCTCTCATTCTGACTGACCACTCATCATGAGAGCCTTTGTTCATAGAACCAGGAGTAAGCCCTGAGAACACCTGGGTGTGGCCCCCAACCCCCCCCCCCCCCAAAAAAAAACCAAATACTGATTTGGGACCTTTGGGTAATTACCAGAAAGTGAAATTGCTGGGCCATATAGAAGTAGAATTTTTTGGGGGTGTCATACCCAGTGATGCTCAGGTGTTACTTCTCGCTCTGCACTTAGGAAGCACTCTTGGTGGTGCTTGAGGACCAAATAGGATGCTGGGAATCGAACCTGGGTTGGCCACATGCAAGGCAAATGCCCTACCAACTGTGCTATCACTCTGGCCCCTAGAAGTAGAATTTTTTATATTTTGAGATGGCTTTATATGCTTTTCTAGAGAGACTGAAACAGACAGCATTTCTAAATTCATTTCATCATCATGTTACTTTTCTAAACTCCACAGGCACTTCTTCTTTCCGGTGACCTCTATTCTAATTCTTACAATTGCAAATAAAGATTCCTTTTCCTCTTATCCGCACGAGTATTGATAGTTACTGATAGATATTCCTATTTTTGATGTATGGTAATTTCACTGATGTAAGGTAATATCTCATTGTTCTTCTGATTTACATTTCCTTGATGATAAGCGATGAAGTCATATTTCCATATAACTCTGCCACCTGTAGGTTTTCTTTTAGGAAGTATCTGTTCAACTCCTCTCCCCATATTTTGATTAGATAGATTGTTTGTTTGTTTTTTTTCTCATTGCTGAGTTTTGCAAGTTAAGTTGGACCTTTTCAAGACCTTACCTGTCCATCTTTGAGAGATAGGCTTACCAGAATATTTAACATTTACCAACTCATCTTTTCCTCTAAGGTAAGGTAAAGGTAAAGGCCCTCCCGTTGATCGTCGATTTGCTCGAGCGGGCCCAGTAATGTCTCCATTGGAGACTTTGTTGTTGCTGTGTTTGGCTCATCTTTTCCTCTGATGCATAAAATTTCTTTTCTTGGATCCCTATAGCTGACAGAGTGTTTTGAAACTTCTCTTTCATCTTAAGGACTTTATATGTGATAATGGTTTAGAAAAAGTGCTTTGTTAATTAAGGAAGACCCAAGAACATACCAGTAATTGAAATTGCTGTTGATTAGCCATTTTTCACTTTCTTCCAATATATAAGAACTAGTTGGCACACAGGTAGGATTTGGCTAGTCCACAAGATAATGTCTAACATTTTGATGTAATTACTATTACTTACAAATTATGGCTTTTTATTTATAGTTCGTATATATAACTTGAAAATTGGGGATTTGAAATTTCATCTATGCAAGGTTTGGGATTATAGTCCCCAAATTGAGTTCTTGCTATTCATCTGAGGCTGTTGATCTGCTCAAATCACCGTAACCTTCTGTAAACTCATTTTATCCTTTTGTATTACTCTTCCAAACTCCACAGGCACTTCCTTCTTGTGATCTCTATTCTAATTCTCACTACAAAAAAAAATCTTAATTGAAGTATTCACAGAGATTATCTCCATAAGCATTGAAGAGAATCTGTGTTGAGATAGTCACAGAAGATTAGATTGAGTTATAATTATTTTTTTCTGTTTAAGATAGGTATTATTAAAGAATATGTTTAATGAGAACAAGAGTGTTTGATTAAGTTTGTCTGGATCTTCAAATGAGGTGGTGGGTGACTGAATATCTTTGTTTGACATCACCATTCTATTGCCAGTACTTGAACAGTGAGTTTTCACACCTAAATACATCTGTGAGCTTGTTTCATTTTCTTGCTAACCTCATTTTCAACAGCTTCTAAGAGACCATCTTTCCTTTGTTTGCATTATTTTATGTTAAATTGGACCTTGAATTCTCCAAAGTTTAACTATTTTCAGTTCCTATCTTAAGAGGATTTTTCTCTAAGACCATTAAACACCTCTAATGTTCAGATTATGAAAGAAAAAATTGCTGTTTGGCTCAAGAGAACAGGAAATTGACAAGGTAGAGTGTTAGTAAAATTCAACAATTTCAAGAGTAAGTCCTTATGGTATTCTTAGAGACCACTCAACTCTTCTGAAATGAATATCTTTGGGAAATATATCTTAACTTTCTTCAATTTTGATTTGAAAGAAAAGTATTAATGCTATTAAACAAGTGATTTAAATTATAACAGATGAAAGAATATTCCCATTTCTTATAATTCTATTGTTCTTTAGATGGTTTTCTCTATTCCCCGTATTAACTCAAACCTATATGACACAGATGATTAGAAATGGAAGTTGTACCCCAGAGAGAGAATACCTCTTCTAGCTAGTTATAAAATGTGAATCTATACTGAAGAATTTTTAAGAGATCATGTTGCATAAAACATATGCTTCAATTTTTCAAATTTTGAGGTCTTTTAAAGTCATTACTTAAGGAACTGTTTGTAGGCTTAAAGATATTTGAAAAGTGCCTTCTAAGATTAGAAAAATGAGACCCTTAATGTATTTCTCTAGTAGAAATCCTGGGGTTTAATGTCATGTTAGTTGTCTCTGGTATGAGAAAAATTATTTTTCTATCAGGAGAAATTATAGTGAATGTTAAAATGCTTTGTGCTGAAGGCAAATACTGAAGACTAGTTAGAGTTGAAAGTGATGTGCTTTCATTTTTGTTAGAAACCTTTCATTTTACTCCTTGATCATGGGGTTAGTAATGTATTTTCAGATGACACACTGTATTATTCTATTTCTACTGAGAAACGCCTTCAATAAAGTATAATGCAAATAAAAAGTTGTCTCTCATTTAGGGAGGAGTTCTTGAAAAACGACACTTAATTTCACAAAAATGTTGTAGCTGAAAAACTTAATCTCCATAATATATGTTAAAAATTACAAAAATATAACAGATAATGCTACAATGGAAAAATTTAACCATATGTTAAAGTAGCATTTAAAAAATTACTATATATAACAGATGACAACAGAAAGAGAAAACATTTGTCTTATGATATTTTTAATGACTGGACTAAAAATAATCAGCATTTGCTCAGATTGTTTGCATCTGGTCACTGCAAATATGATATTCAGCATCAGACAGAGCACCCTATAACAAAACAGAAAATTGAATTCTGCCATGTTTGACTGGTTGAAGTCATCTTCAGGGTTTTACTTTTTCTTCATACTCAGCTGTACCCTATCACCTGGGCGTGCTATGATGATAAATTTACATAAGGGAGAGATTCAGGAAGAATTTGGAAAATATTTAAGATGTCATATAGGAAATGCAAATGGTGGACACAGTTTCTCAGCCTCAGTGTTATTGATACTTTGGGCTGTGTAAGCTTTTTGCTGAGAGGATTGTCCTGTGCCTTATAGAATGTTGGGCGGCATCCCTGGTCTTTACCCTCTAGTTGTCTGTACACATGTCATTTCTTCCCCCTTACATTAGAACTCACATCTCAGTATAATGTTCATTGCTCTTCAGGATGACATGGGAACCTGTTAAGAACGACTGGGTGAAAGTCAAGCTAAAACCTAGGGGACCTTGGGTCAGAAAGATAACTCTACATGACGAACATTTTCTGCATGCAGGAAGCCTAGGTTCCATCTCTGGCACCATGGGATGCCCCAAGCTCTGCTTAGGGTGATCTCTGAGAACAGAGCTGGGACTATCGCCTGAGCACCAAGTGTTGCCCCAAACCTCCCACCCCCTCAAAAACAAGCAACTAAAACAAAAACAGAACAAAACAAAAACCTTGATGGAGGATCTGTCCCATCAAGACCAAAAAAAAAAAAAAAGATGGATGAGTTGAACAAAGCTTTGTTTGAGCACTGCCATGTTCTAGCACAAGAATAATAGCCAGTCTGTCTGGAAACTGCCTTGGAGTAAGTGAAAACAGTGATCCTGGGCTTTGTGATACAAAGCTGACCGTGCCAGGGATAGTAAAAGAACAAGAATTAGATTAACACCAGGAACTGTTAAGCCACTTTTTGTTCTCCAGAGCTGAAATTGCTTTTACCTTTTATAAGGTAAGATTTGCTAATTTAAAAAAAAAAAGCAACAAAGAAGAAAGAGAAGAATGCAGGAGACATCTATGAAAACAAATAAAATCCACTCTTAATTCCAGAAAGAAAAATTGTTTTT